ATGGTGCGCCTAGGCTTGCGATGAGCTAGCCTAGCCTAGTACTTCACATGGCTAGGCCAATGTGATGCTACGGCTATGCTCGTACTTGTTGTTTATGATTTTGCGATGCTCGGTCTCGACGCCCTAGGCTCGATATCCGACGTCTGTGTTCGTAAAACTCCGACGACTCATTAAATCCTTCGAATTAATTCATCGTCTCGGATCGGTTGTTCGATTGGGTTCGTATCAAAGGGTTCAGTTAAGATTAAGCCGTAATATTAATTATACCTTAATATTACTGATCGGAAGCGGCCTCCACTTAGGCATTCCGATTACTTGACCTTACTAAAGAATTAGCTCTGTAATAAATCTGAACCCTCTATCTGAATAATATACTTGATGGAAGGACACCATTCCTTTCAAAATATGCATTTGGCAAACTTGCATGATCCCTTAAAACTTGAATCTTTAAATCTTCAAGGGCCTTCATTGCATCTTCTTGGCTTTGTCTTCTTAGAAACGTTGTCTTCGAAACATCACCATCAATTATATAACTACTAGAAAAGGTAGGACTAATCTAAATATTAAAGTACAAAAATAGTCAACGGCATGCAGTCCGTATTTGAATTTACAAAAATACATAAGGGAACGCAATCCGTATTTACTATTCTTGTCGGGCCCTACTAGTTGTCATTTTGTAAAACCTGCATTAGAATAACTATTCCATTCATCCATTACCTTCTAAAGTGAATGGCCCAAGAATTTTACAAAATAAAACAAGAAATAATATATATAAAACACGCGCAAACTATTAACTAACTTAGGTAGTTAATCAGATTAACGCGCCTAATTAAACTAGTCAAAGTTTTCATCTGATTACGTGAATTAATGCAATAATAATAGCTCAAACGATTAATTAAGCTCCCACTAAATTCCACATCAAACTAAATTAAAATTAATTAAGGCGGTTAACCCAAAATTTGCCAAATTATTTTGCAAGTCCTGGGAAAAACCGAGTCCTAGCCTCGTTTAATTAAAACTAGATCGCAAAAAAAAAAAAAAAAAATTAAAAAAAAAGCAAAATAATAGCCCCTCATCGGCCGAGTCTCTAACATCCAAGCCATGACGCTTGGCTTTCTAGGCACCAACGCCCTACTGCCATCTGTGGGTTTTGCTCGCACTGGCATAGCAGCATGCTAGCGCCCATGCAAGTGCTGGACGCAGCCTTGCTATGCGGGCAGGCGCTGCCTAGTAGTCACAGCATTGCACCACACGCAAGCATTGCCGCACCAAGTGCTGCTACTCGCACATACTCACGCACCAACACGGTGCACTCCCTCGGTAGCCACATGTAGGCTACACAAGCAACCCAGCTAGCCGAGGGCGGTGCTCGAGGCTTGGTGCCTCGTTTTACGTGCTTATGCCTCGGAATTTTATTTTGATTTTGTGTATGACATAAAAAACTAATTCTCAATTGATTTTAGAACTAATATTGAGTAATAATGAAAATTAAACAAGTCCAACTTAAATAAATTCAATTTTAGTGCACAAACCAAAATTAATTCAAGAACCATTCTTTAAATTATATTTGGCTCAACTTGATGCTACAAAAACTGAATGATATTCTCACAAATAATTTAACCAACATAAATTAATAATGAGATTTGACAAAAATTGTTGAATAAATAATCATTAATCCAATGGAAAAAATTATCCAACACTCACTTGTGCACATTTGAATATTGTAATCTTCCAAAATGAATAACCATAATGTTTCAAGCACGAGTATGAACATTTATGATTTTAATCAACTTAAAATAATTAAAACCAAAATTAGGTCACTATTTACTTTAGAAAGTTAAGATCCAACCAAATAAATAATTAAAGATTGAATCTTTACCACTCCAGGGGCTTTAAAAAATACATGTTCATCATAAACATTCACACTACAAGCAATTAATTTGCAAAAATGTGAAATTGCAAGTTTATGTTAAAATAAGAGCTAACCAAATTAAACACCAATTGTGACTTCATAAACATGCTTAATAAAAGTTAAAATTGTTGAAGATTAATGGTATAATTAAACACATAATCTAACAATTGCATGTCATAATTAATTAAGATTTAAAGATTTAAAATTTTTCGTCAAAAACAAAAACCCCCTCGAAAAACCACTTACTGGGTGGATTTTGTCTTCTGGAAGGCCATTTTTAAATATAAAGTGGATAAAGTCCGATTTAGGACGTCAATTCCATCCAAAATTCTTTAGAGTCAAAATCGGAGTTCGTAATCCAAAATCAACATAAATATGATTTTAATCCAATTAAAACCAAGCTCCTAATCTAATTAGGATGCTAAACCAAAAATTTAAATCCATTTAAATCACCTTAATTAATGTTTATTTGTAAAAATTAAATGCAAGAGGCTCTTATACCGTTGTAGGGTTTTGTGGTATCCGACACCGCGCGGAAACAAAACTCGTGAACCGGATCGCATGCATGATAATTTAAACATAAAAAATCATGCAAATAAACACAAACATAAGGGAAAGGGAGAGAAAGAATATTCACCCTAGAAGCGTGCTTCGCTCAACCGATGAGCTCAAACTTGAAAGTTTGAAGTTCCGCAAGTGCGAGAACTTTTGACAGCTCTCACCCTCGCTACCGAATCGTAACCGGTTCCTACACCGTAGCTTAGACGGGGATAGACCAAAAATAATTTAGAGTTTACGAACAAAAGTTTTCTCGCTTTTAGAGATCCCTTAGAGTTCACCAACTCAAGTGAAATTCCCAATACCCAATGATGGGTATTTATAAGGAAATGTCCCCAAGAATTCCCATCATCTTTCAATTTGGGATAGTTGATAAAAAGGCAAAAACAATGATTTAATTTAATTCCAAATTAAAATAAATATTAAAAGTAATAAGCAAACAATACTTGTCATAATATTAGGGAGGTTAGGTAAGGACCATTTGCCATGCCTTGGAGAAGAAACAAAGAGCTAACAACCCAAAAATTATTCCCATGTGGCCGACCCCAAACACGGGCCTCGATGACAAGCCCAAACGACTACCATTACATGCGGTTGGGCTACCATGCTGTCGCGGCCCATGTGCTAGCCAACGGGTGGCTGCTAGCCACCACACACCCAGCAGCCATGCAGGCTTGGTGTGCTAACAGCCCCGGCATGCTAGGCTCGCTAGTGCGCATGGCTTTGTTGGCTAGCTGCCATGCTGCTCGTGTTGTCACGACCTAGCAACCATGCTAGCACTTTGCGGCTAGCACCCCATGGCCTAGCCCACACATGACTTGCACGAGGCAAGGACAATGCGATGCTACGACTGTGGGGTTTTGGTTTTAAATCGTGTTTCTTGATGATTTTTCCATCTCGTCGATTCATTCAAACGACTCGACGCTTGACGTTCGGCTTCGATGCTCTAAGCTTGAAATCCTATGTCTTAGTTCGTAAAATCCCTATCGACTTATTTAATCATTCGGATTAATTCGTCGCCTCGGTTCGGTTAAACGTTTGGGTGTGACCCAAAGGATTAAGTCAAGATTAAGTTGTAATATTAACTATACATTAATATTACTAATAGGAAGCGGGCTCCAGCTAGGCATTCCAATCACTTGATCTCACTGAATAATTAGCTTTCTAAATTAATTCTGAACCCTCTATCGGAATAATACACTAGTTTGAAGGACACCATTCCTTTCAAATTATACGTATTATACTACTATTTCATTTGAAAGAGATTTGAGGGTGTTACAGGTGGAAACGACGGGTGGTGGTTTTCGTTAAAAGGAGGTGGTGGCTCTGTAGGGGTTTAGTTTTTTAATTTTAAGGGTTTATTATTATTATTATTATTATTATTATTATTATTATTATTATTATTATTATTATTATTATTTATATTTTTTAAATCAAAATTATTAAAAAAAATAAAATAGCAAATGATATTATGACACATGTCATTGGTAACCTGTTAAAGAGGTTACTAACAGGTCACGTTCCATTTATAGAAGAATCGTGTGAAAGGTAGTATTATTTGGAATAAATGAAAGGTTGTTCTACTTATGGAAGATGACTGAAAGGTTGTATTATTCACTTCAAATTTTCCAAAAGGAAAAAGAAAAACAAGACATTATCAATGTGGAATGTAATTTACATCGAATCCCAAAATAAATGTGCTTAATTCTTTTCAATACGATACTTAATCCTCAACTTCTAATCAATATTCTAAATAATAACTTCTCATATTTCTAATGTACAATTTGGGTAGTGGATCAACGCATGTAACGTTAAGACCATGCTCAAATTGCTCACCCATGAACAAAAAGGTCAGCCAAGTTGTAAATAGTATAAGACAATTCAAGAGTAACGAGAAAAATATATAAATATATTTAGAATGTTGTCCAACCAAAGAGCAGATCAAATTATATGATTCGGTTTTGTCTTAAATCAGTTAAATCCATTGGTACTTTGCCTAATTTAGTTCTCTTCACTTGGTTGTCCTTTACTTTGTTTAGCTCTAATCCAGTTAACAGAATTTTCTGAATCTTAAATATATGCAAGTAGACTTCCCACGTTCCCTCAATTGTACAATAATACAAAATTTTATATTACTAACTTCGTTAAATTCATCACAGTAAGACTACCTAAACTATACAACAATAACATTATATTATGTAGTTTAATCCATGATTAATTAATTAATTAATTATACTTGGTTCATGATTCTACAACCTTAGAAGGCTTAAATTAGTCGTCTATCTTTACTGGCCTGTAAAATGTTGCATGATATCTGAGTTGTAATATGCCAGTTGTTTGGCCCCACATTTGTAGTACAAGAGATTAGTTACAAAGAACAAAGACCCTGTTCAGATCAATCATTGGAATTTCAAGATCAATTAAAGTAATGAACTCAATCTCTATAACATTCTATTATACATGCATCATTTAATATAAATATGTCCATAAAGTCATCTTTAGTCGTTATACAATGAGTTCAATCTTTACATTCTTCTACTCCAATTGAATAATCCTCTCCTCTTCTCTCCCTTGCTTTCTTTCAACTTTTCTATCCTTGATCTTCGGCCTTTTCGTTTTCTCCTGCATAAGGAAAAGGCGTGAAATCTATAATCTATGGGGATGTTCCTTGATGGAGAGTGGGAATCGATTTGCAAACTTTTTACAGTAGATGAGTTCCCTGATCTCGCTGCTAATTTTCTTGATTACTTTTCACCTGAAAGTAAGCACGACATTGATACTCTGGCTTATGATGTACAATCAAGTATTTCTCATGCTGAAAAAAAAGCTGTTCCTCATGTTGACATTTTATCCTGCATTGATTTCTCAATGCTGAACGGGGAATTTGATGCCTCGTTAGGCTTATTGTTTCCTAATGATACTCTAACTGACACCTCAACGTTTGACAACGTTGTCAATATTAATACTTCTGTTGATATGTCATCACCCAACACTGAGCTGACCCTTAAGAGAAAGCGTGAGGTGCCAGTGGCTCCAGACGATGATAAAGATAAAAGGTCGAGCTTAATGGAAACACCCAAAAAGAACGCCCGAATTTCCAAAACTGTAAGTACTACTCGTATAAAGTTTAGAAAATGGTATTGTTGATAATAGTTTATGCAATGTTATTGAGACGGTTTCCTTATGATTATTAATTGTTCAGACTCAGAAGGCCATGAGAAAAACAACCAAAAAAACTGATGAGCACCCGACTCCAACAGTAAATACAAGGAAGAACAATGAAATAGCAGATTCAAACTCAGTTGACTCTAACCCCTGTGTGTCAGAAGAGATCAATGAAACAGAAGATTCAACTTTCAATATAACCGAGTCTACTACCTCGACTGGTAAGAAGAGAGCCAGCAGGGGTGCTGCAACTGATCCACAGAGCCTCTATGCACGGGTAAATTTCATAAAACCGGCGTCCTTAAACAATATTATCTTTTTCTCTGAACATCCTGTTTCGCTAATGTTAATCTTGATATAATGTTACAGAAAAGGAGAATTAGAATCAACGAGAGATTAAGAATCTTGCAGAACCTCGTGCCTAATGGAACCAAGGTTTGTGTTAATGCACCTATCTGATATCACTAACATGATTAAATAACTAAATTTTTCAAGAGATAGTGCTGATGATATTATTCATGTACATTGTTGGCAGGTGGATATTAGTACAATGCTAGAAGAGGCATTTCATTATATAAAGTTTTTGCAGCTACAAATCCGGGTATGTGAATACATTTGTTATTAATTATATACTTCTTGATATATACAAGCGTGTTACAAGTATCTAGTTTGTCAAACAATGATCGACTAACACTTCTTAATTTGTGCAGCTGCTGAGCTCCGATGATTTATGGATGTATGCCCCCCTCGCCTACAATGGACTCGACGTTGGAGCTTATGGAAGGATGCCTCCTTTTCTTGGCCATTGAATCTTCTATACATTCAATTTTTTATACTATTTTGGTAATAGATAAAAGGTCAAATATATGGTAGGTGAAAATGAGAAAATAAATAACCAAAAAAAAAATTCAAAAAAGGAAGAAGGTGATATTAAAAATTAATAGACAATTCTTTTGTTTCATTTGCAAGTATGTAAATTAATTTATGTAGTACTTAATCGGATTTCTGTAAATGAAATGGCACAATGTTGAAGCATATTATATCTCATCAATTTTGATTTTTATTATCCTGTTTCAAAGAAAAGGATATATATATATATATGTATGTATTTCGGTCATATGATCTGATGTATTTGATCCGTTTAACCATGGAAATATTGTAATATAGTAAAAGACATTATTGTGGGAGAGATATGTCTCCTTCATTTTTAATATACCATGCAGTAATACAAGATGATTAAGCAGTCCCTACAGCTAAATTAGCCAAAGCAGTTTCAAAACTACAAGTCCTCTATTTCACAAATAAAAATTGTTATGCTTAGCTATTTTTGGGTCAGTATTTTTGAAATATTTGACACACAGGTATAATAATCATCAATAACATAGTACCAAAACAGACACCGGATATTACACATGTTACTTCCTGGTATCACTTTGTCTCGGAAATCGACACAGGTGCCTCTCATCATGTAACGAGCGATGAGTCCTCTCTATTGGATATTCAATCCATTCTACCATGCCATGTTAGTCTTCTCGATGGTGCTCAAGCCATTGCTAAAAAAAAGGGTCGTATTTTCTTGGGGAATGTTGCAATTTGAGATTGGTGTCTAAATTAATTGACGACTCTCATTGTTATGTATGATACACTAATTCTTTATGTGCTATACACGATCAAAATTCAGGGAGCCTAGTTGGAGGCGGTGAATGAATAGATGGACTCTACTATTTCTGGCTTATCCCAAAAGTATGTCCGGAGGTCTCTACATTTAATTTGTGGCATCAACGTTTGGGACATCCGTCGGAAAGAATTGTCAAGTTACTCCCTGCTATTAGAGGTAGTTCTAGTAGTAAATATTTATATAAGGCATGTCAAATTTGTCCTTAAGCTAAACAAACCCGAGATAGCTTTCCTATAACTGATAGTCGCATTTTTGAAATGATACATTGTGATATGTGGGGCTCGTATAAAACTCCTTCTACATGTGGTGCACACTATTTTCCAGCTCTTATTGATGATTTTTCAAGGATTGTTTGGGTATATTTGTTGAATGAAAAAACAGAGGTCTATTCTTCTTTTTGCTCATTCTTTTCTATGATTAAAACTCAATTTGGTGTGTCTGTGAAATGTATTCGGAGTGACAATTGTACGAAATCTAAAAACATGCTTCCCTACTTTAATGAACATGGCATTTTATTTCAAACTTCTTGTGTTGGTACTCCACAACAAATTGGCCGGGTTGAGCGTAAGCACCAACAATATTGAATGTGAGTTGTGCATTAATGTTTCAAGGCAATTTGCCAAATTTGTGGGGTGAATGTGTTCTTGGGGCGGCATATTTGATTAATCGTACCCCTTCTTGTTTACTAGACGATAAAACACCGTTTGAGGTCTTATTTGGAAAAAATCTTACTTTTGATAAAATGCGAGATTTTGGTTGTCTTTATTTTGGTCATAATTAAAAGGATAAGGTTGATAAGTTTTCACCTAGGAGTAGGAAGTGTGTGTTTGTGGGATACCCTCATGGCAAGAAAGGTTGGAAGTTCTATGATTTATAAATGGGTGAAATATTTGTCTCACGTGATGTCAGTTTTATGAGAATGAATTTCCGTTTGAGATTAATGGTTGTTAGGATAATTCTCTGTGGGTAACGACGAAGTGTCTCTTGATAATAATCGGGTTGATACTGATTTTTTGGATGATTTGTAGCTTGTTTTAGAGGTTGGTGAGGCCTCTCTTGAGCCCCGTTCACCGGATAACCATGGTGGCAGTATCTTCGTTTCACCTATTCCTGCTACTGCTGCTACCACTACTGTTGCCACTTCTTCACCTATTACTACTACTGCAGCTGCATCTACCTCTACTACTGCTAAGTCATCTGCTTTTTCAAGCACCTCAAACAACAGCCATGTACTTGATCTGAGCTTCTCTTCTTCCTCTTCTCTTAATATGGGTTGTGGTCAACGCCAACGACATCCTCCAGGTTGGCATCATGATTATGTCGCACATACCATTTTTTTTCCAAGTCGGTCTATCTATACATGTTCACCATCTACTCAAAGCTCCTCAAGTACTCCTTTCCCTTTAGCACACTTTGTGGTTTGTGATAAATTTTCTATGTGACACCTTATATTTATTGTAGCTATAGATACGACAATTGAGGCATGTAATTTCAAAGAGGCAATGAAAGATGACAGGTGTAGAGAAGCTAACATAAATAAGTTTCTGCCTTGGAAGATCATGAAACTTGGTTAGTGGGAGAATTACCTCCGGGGAAAAAGGCTCTCGAGTGCAGATGAGTTTGCAAGGTGAAACGTAATTCAGATGGCACAATTGAATTATTGAAAGCTTGCCTTGTTATATTTGGCAACCATTAGGTTGAGGGTATTGATTATAATGAGACATTTGCTCCCGTAGCTAAAATGGTCACTGTTCGTGCTTTCTTAGCTGTTGTTGCTGTGAAGAATTAGGAATTGCATCAAACGGATGTTCATAATTCCTTTCTTCATGGTGATCTTAATGAGGAAGTCTATATGAAGCCTCCTCCCAGTTTCCATGGTTCTCAACTTGGCATGGTATGTCGCCTACAAAAGTCTTTGTATAGCCTTCGACAAGCACCCCGTTGTTGGTTTGCCGAATTGTCTAGCTCTCTAAAAAGGTACGGTTTCGTACATTCGTACTCTAATGATTCACTATTCACTCGGAATCATTGGGCTATTCATCTCAGTGTCCTTGTGTATGTTGATGATTTGATTATTTCAGGGAATAATACTTGAGTGATTGTTTTCATATGAAAGATTTGGGTATTTTGATGTATTTTCTTGGTATTGAGGTTGGACGAAGTCCGGAAGGCATATTTTTATGTCAACGGAAATACACCCTTGATATTATTACAGAGTCGGATTTGTTGAGGGCACGGCCGGTTGGTACTGCGATTGAGCAAAATCATATTCTAGCGATATCGGAGACACCTCTTTTGATGACCACAAAATGTATCGTCGTCTTGTGGGTTGTTTGATTTTTTTGTCTTTCACTAGATTTGACTTGCCTTATACAGTTCATATCTTGTATCAATTTATGCAACAACCTCATAAGGATCATAGGGAGACAGCACTTCGTACGGTACGCTACTTGAAATGTTGTTCAGGACAAGGGATCCTTATTAGTTCAGATTACGATCTACATTTGACAAGTTGGTGTGACACGGATTGGGCTAGTTGTCCTTTGAGGAGACGGTCAATTTATGGTTATTGGGTTTCGTAGCGTCCAACGCTACGTGGAAGAGAAACCTTCCCAAGACCCGCCCACTAATTAAAGAAACTAAACATGCAATCACATATTTAACAACATCAGAGAGAGAAAAAGAAAAGACATTCTTACCCTCGATGCGTGCTTCGCTAGATTCACGAGCTCTTACTTCAAAGCTTGAGCCACGCAAGTGGGACGGCCTCTACGGCTCGCACCCTCGACTTGACCCGAGTGGTCTTAATCCCGAAGGGTTAGTCGGGACTTGACCAAATAAAATTAGAGTATTACGAACTTAAAGGTTTTCTCACTAATCATGAGATGCCTTAATGAGTTCAACTCACGTAATTTTTCCCAAACCCAAAACTTGGGTATATATAGGGAAGGGAGCTTTGATCTCCCTTTTCCCATCAATGTGGGAGATTTGCATTTTCCTTTATTTTAATTTAATCAAAAACAAAATAATAATGCAAGATAATCAACAAGCTCCAAGTGTCACATGGAGGGAGAGAGTAGGTGAGGACCACCAAAGGCAAGGACAAATCACCTTGCTCCCCAAGCCAAACACCAACCCCTTGGTCCACTCCCTTGACCGGCTGACCATGCCATATGGCTGGCTGGCAGCTTGCCTTGGCTGCCAAGGTTGCCAACTGGCGCCTAGCACCAAGGCTGGGCAGCCCAACCAGCCAGCCTGCATCACACGCGCAGCCAGCCAGCACGCAGCACATGCGCAGCCAGCTAGCACGCTTGCGATGCTGCTGCTGCTGCTTGGTGCTGCTCGTTAGCAAGCACAGCTACGCACACGCACACATAGCACGCTGCTGCGATGTATATGTTGTGCGAGTGCGCTTCTTGGTGCGAGGCTGCGAAGAGCTGGTGCTAGGCCTTACCATGCTAGCAAGCACGCATAGCATGCATACGCAAGGCACCATGTTTGCGATGCTTGCATGCTAAGCGCAGCCTAGCTGTGGCTATGCGTGTGGTTGGGTGCGAGGCCTACCACGCTAACATGCATGCAGTTGGTGCCCTTGCCTCACCTAGCACTTGCATGGCTAGGCCAATGCGAGGCTACGGCTTGGCTCGTACTTGTCGCTTGTTGAATCTACGTCTCGTCGAATTCTAAATTCGGCTTGATTTGCGACGCTCGGTTTCGACGCTCTAAGCTCGACATCCGACATCTTCGTTCGTATTACTCTAATGACTTTTCTAATCCTTCAAATTAATTTGTCTACTTGGATCAGTTAATCGATTAGGGTGCGACCCGAAGGGTTCAGTCAAGATTAAGCTGTAATATTAATTATACTTTAATATTACTGATCGAAAGCAGCCTCCACCTAGGCATTCTGATCACTTGACCTTATTCAAGAATTAGCTTTCTAATAATTCTGAACTCTCTATAGGAATAATACACTTGTTGGAAGGAAGCCGTTCCTTTCAATCTCTCACTTGTCCTTCCAGACAAGTGTGTAGTTAGTGTATAGCTCATTTCGTATGTCGCTTAATGTCTCTTCATGAACTATAAGGTAAGACTCTTCGTCATCCTTATTACGTATAGAAGTGTTTCTCGATTTTTGAGTTCGACAGTCAATAAGCAGATGATTTCTAAAATCCATCTAAGTTCGACAGTCTTCGAGAGGCCTTGTAAACAACAAAGACATATTCCCTATTTTTAATAGGGGGACATTCCCAGGCTTGTACTGTAAGCTTCCCTTACTAAGAAAACCTAGCCACCCGAGTGTTGCCGTTATAATCCCCTTTTACGGTAGACGTTTGACAACATCAAAACGACTAGTACTCAAACAAGAGAACTAATAATACTCATG